TTTTTGCTGTTTTTTAAATTATCTAATTAAGAATAAAGAATTTTTAAACATTAAAAAAGCATTTGCAAAAAAAATAAAAAAAATAAAATAAAAAATAAAAAAAATAAAATAAAAAATAAAATAGATTTAAAAAACGAGCATCAAAAAAATAAATAAACGTATTTACAGCATTTTGAAATGAACATATTTACATAAAAGAGCATTTAAGCATTTTTTTTGCATTAGTCATTTTAATTTTAATAAAAGGAATGCAATTACCTTCCAGGGCAAAAGTAGCGAGTTAAATCGAACGAATTTAGGGTGTAAGGGTACTGAAAAAAAATACTTAAAAATTTTGCCTTTTATAATTCTACAGCATTTTGAAATGAACATATTTACATAAAAGAGCATTTAAGCATTTTTTTTGCATTAGTCATTTTAATTTTAATAAAAGGAATGCAATTACCTTCCAGGGCAAAAGTAGCGAGTTAAATCGAACGAATTTAGGGTGTAAGGGTACTGAAAAAAAATACTTAAAAATTTTGCCTTTTATAATTCAGTAACTCCCCCCCCCATACCCTAAATTACAGGATTTTCACAAAGGGTGGCGTTGAAAAATTTTCCACTCCTTAGGGGGGGCCGCAGCTTCAAAAAGGTTGAGAATCACTGCTGTAAACAATAGAATATAATCAATATGATCAGTTTATACATCTTGTTCAATAATGGTGATTTAATAATTCTACACTGACATAAACAGGGCTATATATATTCCACAGGATGGAGAACAAACAGAGGTACTGGATGAAAATTCAGCTTCCTGGTATTTTCAGCAGCCCTTCCCCACCCCCATCACCCAGAATGAAATTTAGCTAATTGTTTTATTTCAGCCACTTGCTGAAATTTCTGAAGCTAAAGGTTTAGTTGGTGAAGGACATTAATGCCCAGGATAGCTCCTTGCTATTACTAGTTTAACTAAAACAATCAGGAATGCAGAATACAGCAAATGTTAAAACTTTTCCCCAAAATAAAAGGAATTATGCAAGTTTGTTCAAGTTAGATAATTTGTAACATCTTCAAAATCAAGCTATTTTGGGTGCATACTATTAATTTTTAAAAAACAGAAGTTGATTATATATGCACAATTACTTCCCTTGAAGCCTGAAAAAAAGGAATAAAAAGGAACCAGACAATTGTCCTTATCAATATACAGTAATGAACTCACCAGGTAGCCTTATGCTACCTGCCCTGCCCTGCCTCTTTCCAGCACTTTCTTCACAATTTGGAAATAATACTACTCGTCCATTTTGCAAGGATGAAGTAAAGATTACCTAGAATTATCTGGCCTGGTAACACATGATTTGCTTAAGCGTAGTGTATGGAACAAACCAGAACTGGCTGGATGGCACATATCAATCAAGCCATAAACCATAGCGTACAAACAATAATGCCTATGCTTGCTAAGCCAAAAAACAAAGTAAGTTTAACTTAATATAATTGGGGTGGACTTAGTTCAGAAAGGGCACTCAGAACCTTTCTTTAGCAGCAGTCACGTGATCACAATCACGTTGGCAGTCTCACTGAGCGCTCTGAAACTCTATTTCATTGATTGATTGATTGATTGATTATAGGCCATCAAGTCGACCTTTAGCGACCACATAGATTTCCCTGCTAGGAACTGCTATATGTGTGCAATTTATATCTACAGCCCTCTCTCTCTTGCAATATGGAGGGGGGGCTGAAGAGAGCAGTCCAAACTACTTCCTAAGGTCCCCCTCAAGGTTTTATCGCTCAAGCTTTTATCCCTTGAGGAGGATTTTAATAACATCCTTGTCCTCCACCTCGAATTCAAAGTTTTTCACGGGAAGTGCATTTTCATGCATTCGTTGTCTCCCAACTCCGCTCTTTCACACAGGGAAAAAATGAGGGTAAGAGGAAGCATCTGGAAATCCCCCCTCCCCAACACACACAGACACACACACCCGCGCGCTCTTTTCTAGTTTCCGCGTGCATTTCCCCGCGGCTGGCTCTCTGCCCGCGCTCCTTTTCGGTCCTTGCTGCGCCCCGTCATCCGAAGCTGAAGTCCGGCATGGAATCGATCGAGGAATTGGCTCTCGGACCTTGCGTCGCCTCCCAATACTTGCGGCCCTTTAGCCTCCGTTACCGCCAGGTGAGCGGGCAAGGTGAGGGGGCCGTGGGAGGAGGAGCCG